AAGCGAATGGTATATGGAAACTCTTTGAGCTATCCTTACAACTTTGCTGTAAATCTAAAATCATCCCAGTGTAAGAAGTTTATTTTTTAAATGTGTGGTCCAACAGCTACCACACAGCTGTGTTGTTGCTCCTGCCTCAGGACCTTTGTGCTCACTGTTCCCTCTGCCTGTAGGGTCTATCTCAGATACCCATATGGCTCATCCCTCGTCTCCTCTGTGTGTCTGCTCCAGTGACATCCTCGTGAGACCTTCCCTGATCACTATGTGCAGAATTACAATCTCCTGTTTGGAGCTCCTCATCCCCTTCCTTGCTTTATTTTCTCCCATTGCACTTGTTACCATCCACTATATTATTATTTACATCTTATTTATTGTGTTTTCCCCCACTAGAATGTAAGCTTCCTGAGGATGGGGATTTTGGTCTTTTAGTTTGCTGCGGTATCCCTCAGGTCCTAGAATAGGGCCTGATAGATGCTGGCTTTTCAATAGTTAAAAGAAAGGAGCCAGGCGGGGAAATGACAATCAGAAAAAGAGAATCAACAGTGGAAACCAAAAAAGGTGACAGTGACAGCTGCACTGGTTTTGCTAATGGGTAATAAGAATCTAAGGCTTAATTACTAATGGCTAATGAGCTGCAAGTTCAGCTGTGTTTTCCCAGTGCTGAGCCATGTCTTAATCATCTTTCTATCCCTCCTTCTTAGCATATGATAAGCAATAATAATTGAATGGCAAGACTCGCTTGACTGAAGAGGAGAGGACTTTGGGGGCATAGCCGTCAACAAAGGTGGAGACTTGGTGGCAAACTGGGATTGATCCTTGCGAGGGACAAGGTGTTTTCTAAAACATGTTTTGTTTCAACACAAGGAAAGTAAAATGTCTCACTCACTTTCAAAGACAATTGAGTTCTATTAAGTATTGATTCTACAGTTAGCTTAAAATAGGTACCATTTTGCAGTAGTGGAGAAGGCCTCAAACTGCAAATGTTACCACCACCTTTACCAGTTGTCACCAATAAGGTGTCACCATTTGGGGGTAGGGAGTGGGAGTGCTGCTTTCTATTAGAGGTAAGCCGCTAGAAAAGGAGAGCTATGATGGAAGGGCTTAAAAAAAATCATCCCTTATTTTACCTCTCCAGGTTCTGCTTTTAGCTAACTAAACCACACAATAAATAGAATCACACTGACATTAAGCACAGTGCCATTGACTGACAGGGACTGTAAGCACTGTGCTTAGTGCTTTAAAGCCACATCATTGCATAGGAGTTTAGGCTTAATTCTCTTTCCCCTTCTTATCTTTAAAGTCAAAATGGTAGTTTTGACCTTTGGCATTCTTTAATGAGATTTTTTTTTCACTTTACCACATTATATTGTTTAATAATTTGCCACAGACCATATGAATCCTTGCTGGTACTGACCAAGCAAACTCCACATATTCTATTTATATGCTACTGGATGTATGCAGTTATCATCAAATATTTATAAAATAACCAATGCGTCAAGAGCAATACATTGTGTCCAGGTACTTAGAAGAATGGTAAGACATAGTCTGCCTCCAAAAAGTTTACCATCTAAGGGGAGCCAAGGCACAGCAAACAGAAAACCTAGCTATGTTGGATAGGTGCCAGTCTTTATTAAGAAATTGAGTAAACAAAATTGCTTTGACCTGACAATGACATTATTTGTACAGTTTGCTGTTCAGATTGAAATTAGATGAAACAATGTTGCCTTATAGAGTTGAGAGACCTTGGTTTTAGTACCAGCGCTACCATTAAATAACACTGACAAAGTCATCTAAATTTCTTGGGTCCCACCTTCCTAACCTTGGAAGTGAGAGTTTTGTTTGTTTGGTTTTGTTGTTGTTGTTGTTGTTCTTTTGTTTTTACCTCTTAAACTCTGCAAATGCCAGTCTGAACACCTCCCCATTTCCATCCAAAATGTGCCATGATTTAAGAAATTCTGACTTAGAGAGAGAGTGTAACATACTCACTAATTATTCTTCCCTTATCTCACACACACACACACACACACACACACACACACACAAATGTGTTTGTCTTACTCTTTCTACGTATTAACCAAACCTGGCTTGAATCCCAGCACACCCAATTCTTTTTGTTTAGGCTTCTTAATGTATTAAACAAGCCCTATGGGTTCAGTACATTCTCAATTTTGGTTTATCTATATCTCTTACATCTCTTTCCTCACTTATCAGTATTTTGCTCAACTCGCTGTTCATTCAAATGAGAAGGCAAAGAAAAATTAAAGATCAATCTTTTTGCTTTAGTAGTGTTTGTGTAGGAGATGCCCCTTACAATACAGAAGCTTCAGATACCGCATTGACCAAATTGCCTTGCCTAAAATAACCATCCTCCTACCCCACTTTGCATAAAAATAATTTTTAAAAATTCAAATAACAATAATATAAGAAACTGATTTTATAACTCTGCCTGGGGCATAGTTTCAGGCATTTCCCATGGGAAAGAGGTTCACTTTCACTCAGTGCTATTTTTTACTATTTGCAGATTTACCATGTGCTTGTATAAGTTTCATTACTATAAAAATTAAAAAGCAATATTGTCCAGCATTCATTGCACATTTACTGTGTGCCAGACCTTTTACATGCATTACCTCATTTAATCCTCCCAACAAAACTGATGCAATTTTTTTTAAAAAAATCTCCATTTTATAAATGAAGAAACAGGGGTTTAAAAACTTATTCAAGAACATATATCTATTGACCAAACTGACATTTTATGGAATAAAATTATATGATGGAGATGAAAATGCTGTGAGAAGTTAAATTACCATACAAAGGTGAAACAGGAGTACCCCATCAGCAAAGCAGCATGTTTACTAAGTAGGTATCTGCCAGGCTTGCAACAGTAAGTCATGCTGAGATTTAGTATGGGCTCCAGTGCTTTAATCCCCAGGTTTTTACTTGTTCATTCTAAAGCTTCCATTTCTCCACCATCCTATTAAAGAATTTGATTGGAATTGGAGGTTTTAAATTTGGGAGGAGTGTTGGTTGGGTAGATAGCCCATGACCTGCATTTTCCAAAACTACCTCCTTTGTTCCTGTAGATCAGAAACAGCAGTGGTGTTTCTGGGTTGCTATTTGTGGTCTCCTCTCCCCATACCACAGAAATTAACATGGGTCTTTAGGGAAAACAAAGTATATTGTGGAACATCTTCAAGTTTCCAGGTACATAGATTGGGTCAGTTGACTCAGCCTTTTGGACATAAATCAGAATTTCGAAGTCTAAGAGTTTGGAATAAGCACAGCAAGGGCCTGGTTCTTTTCAAAAAATAATCTCTTTGAAAATACCTGGCAGATGTAAATAAGCTTCAAGAGAGCAATAGCAGTTACAATTATTTTAGCAACAGGTGAAAGCACAGCAAATGTTTTTTATGCCTCTCAGATTGTATTTTCATTTTAATTTTCATATCTAGCTGAGAAAAGCATTAGGGAGAGTGGGCATGTTTTTCTGTACTATATCTAGCATACCTGATTTCTAGTGGTAAGGTGTAATAATTCACATGTTAACATGAACTTCGGAGGCACCAGATGCTCATTTCATGGTTTTCTTCCAATCCTGTCATCGTTTTAGTCTTTAGATGACCATTTCCCTCTCCAGGAAGCTCCCATCTTGGGAACAGATTGGTTTTTCAAGGAACTCAGGGTGTATTTTTCCAGTCACTGTGTCTTCCACAGACATTTATTGAGGACTTACTATGTGCCAGATATTCTCCTAGGTTCTAGAAATAGAGTCAAGAATAAACAGAACAGGCAAATAACCCATACCCTTATGGAACTTATAGTCTATTTAGGAAAGAGAGGCAATAACAAAATAAATCAATAATAAAATAAATTATATAGTATGTTGGAAGGTGAAGAGTACTATGAGAAAAATTCAACAGGGAGTGCTGGGGGTGGGGTTGCAAATTTAAATAGAGCTGTCACAGAAGGCCTCACTGAGAAGGTGACATCTGAGCAAAGACTTGAAGGAGATGAGAGAGTGAGCATGTAGACATATGGAGGACAAGCATTCCAAGCCAGGGAACAGTACATGCAAAGGCCGTGAGGCAAGGGAGGCCAGTGGGGCTGCAGTAGAGGAAGCAAGGGGTCTATAATTGTAGCTGATGTGCTCAGGAAAGCAGCAGGGGCCAGATCCTGTGGGCCTTTGCAAACCATTGTAATGACTTTGGCTTTTATTCTGTGTGAGGAGCCATAAAAAGGTTTTGAACAAAGGAATAATAACAATCTGATTTCAGTTTCTCATACAAATATTAATTGTGAGACAGGTTTTCCAAATGACCCACCAAAGCCTGTTTGATCCATATTGCCATTGAACTAAGGTGCTAATCAGACTCTTAGAACCTGAGCACTGGATTTAGATCAAGGAGGCAAGGATTTACTTACAGCTCAGTTGAATGACTTTGGGCATGTCAATTAACATCTTTGAGCCCCACTTTTCTTATTAGAGAAATAAGAATAAACCGTACCTGCCCCATGGCTTTATTTTGAGGATCAAGTAAAAACCGAATAGAGAAGCACTTTGTAAATTATAAAACAAAATATAAATGTCAAGAGACATGGTGATAGCAACAGTAGTGTGCTTGTGTCATTATTATTTCAAGGAAAATTAAGTTCAGGTGCTAAGTCAGAATGCTAGCAACTCAAGCTTGCCTTTCCCATTCCTTCTTATTAAATAGCCATGGAAATGGAGCCGCCTCCTCCTTCTCCAGCACTGGAGGTCAGGAGATCTCAACAGAAGGTGCCAGTCAGGCTCCCAGCTGGACAGTCATAATTTACAGGGTGTTCGGTAGACTGGGGCCTCCATGGTTGCTGGGTCTGTTGCAAAGGACTTGTCCTAGTGGGAGCATTATGGGTTCCTCTTGTGTGCCCCACAAGTCTCCCCAGTTCAGGCTGCAAGGCATTAGGCTTTCCGGGGATGGGCCACTTCTCCAAGTAACCACAACCCTCTTCTCCTTCACCACCAGGCACTCCTCCTATGGAAGGCTTTTGGATGACCACGACTACGGGTCCTGGGGAAACTACAACAACCCTCTCTACGACGACTCCTAACAAAGGAATGTGTCCTGGGATGAGGAATAACTGTTCTTTATTTATAAGTGCTTATCCAGTAGAATTAATAACAAGTACCTGATGCACATTGAATGACAATCTTAAGCCCTGTTTTGTTGGTATGGTTGTTTTTGTTTTCCTCCCTCCCTTCCAGCTGCTACAACTTCCCATTTCTGGTACAAAAAGAACCATTATTTAAAGATGAGTGGAGGCTGATTTGCAGTTGAAATGGGTCAACCTTGCATCAGCCAGGCCAGACCACCATGGTGAAGGATCTGCCCCCATCACAGGACCCTCTTTGAGAAGAACTGAGCAAGAGAGATTGGATTTTGTTGGGAGTTACTTTTAGGGGAACTTTTTGTTTGTGGTAGTTCTTAAACTTTCTATTTAGAAAATTACATTAAATATCAATGAGGGGAAAGGAAATGAGTCCTGGGACAATTTCACCCTGCATGTGAGGAAGCAGGGGTTTTTCAGATGCCTTTTTAATCTCTGCTTATCGGGTTGTATCTGATAGGATGCCTGCTTGGCTCTGCAAGTGGGAGAGCAGCTTCTTAGCGGCCGGCCGAATTAATGAAAGATGAAAATAGGAAGTGCCCTGGAGGAGGCCAGCAGGTGCAAGGCACAGGGTAGCAGGTTTCTCCGCATTTCCTCTACCTGTTCTCCCCTGCAGCTGGGATCCCCGCCCACAAGCTTTAGGCACTATTGTCATTCCAAAGGAGAAGGCTGTGAGCTGAGCTTAGTTATAGAGGAGAAAGGGAGAGGCATGCTGAGTGAGCACACAGTGGGTGAGTGGAGGAGGGCAGGAGGGAAAGAAGGACACTACCATGCACTGAGCACCTCATTAGGGCAAGGGGGAACCAGCTCTCAATAACTGCCAGAGACATCCACTGCTTGGAGGAGCCCAGAAAATCCCTGCTTTTTACCCATGAAGCAACTGGTTCACTGCCTTACTGTCTCTTGGATAATGGCTGTAAACTGTTAAAAGAGAGAGAGAGAGAGAGAGAGAGAGAGACTCTAGTCTGTCTGCAGTTGCTTAGTGAGGCCTTCCCATAGGTAACAGACATGATTAATCTGTTTATTCTTCCCATACATTTACCTTACTAATTCTTCCCTTTAATAAATGAACACTCCTGGGTATATAGTCTTAAAATCCTGCACAACAAATTTTGAGAAAGAACTGTTCATCTTTGTAAGCATTGATTTATTTGCAGACATTTTCAACCAGGAGGTGATTTTGCCCCCTCCCTACCCCGGAAATTTGAAAATGTCTGATGACATTTTTGATTGTCATGACTTGGGGATGCTACTAGTGGCCAGAGGCCAGGGATGCTTCTAAATATCCTATCTGTGCATGCACAGGACAACACGCCACAACAAAGAATCATCTGACCCAAAATGTCAATAGTGCTGGGACTGAGAAACCCAGATTGGTTGCAACGCCCATTGTGCCAGAACAAAACACTCACTTTTTTATTTTTAACAAAATGAAATGTGTTAAATTTTTAGCTCCAACGTGTTTCCTTTGTTAGCTGATGGGTTGGTTTTTGGCATGCATGGTCGCCTTTTTATTTTTATGTGTTTTCTAGAGAGCAAGCTTTATTTCACGGCTACAACTCTGTCCTAGAACATCTGATATCAGCAACTAGCATCTTCTATCCTGATTTCATGTAGTAGAACACATACATTGGGGCCTGTTTCAGAACGTGTTATATTATCCTACAACAATGTGATAAAGAACTTGAAACTGTATTAATTTTTATTTCTAACCTTGGGCCTTGCTGCCATGACTCGGTTTAGTTTAGAGAAATGACCCTGGGCTCATCCTTTTGCTCACTGTGGTACTGACATGAAGTACCACAAAGTACTGACATGAACACCACCCCTGCCATGCTTTTTCTCACCCCTCTGGTGGTTAGTGACACCAGTGCCACTTTCCACAGCCTGCCACCCCACACTCTGAAAGAAAATGATCCCTAAACTCTTTAGGTACCAAAGGAGAATGAGCAAGCCCCAAAGGTATTTTCCAACCAGGATGGGTGGTGAGGAGTGGGTTGCCAGGAATTATAATATCTCTGAATATGAAAAACAAAAGACAAAAAAAAGTGGACCTTCTCAGGAAAATGGCAAAGAGTGGCCTACGGTGCCCCCCGACAGTGTTTGGTTTCAGTAATTGTCCTTCTTCCCCACCCAGCCCCCTTCTAGGGCTTTCAATTTGGCAAATGGCAAGCCAATGACAACAGGACATTCATACATTTTTTTCTTTCTCAGCTAAAAACATTTTGACAAAATATCAGTAAACACCTTTGGAGAAGTGCACTTCTGGATGGAGCTTCTGCCATAAATACTGGGTCAGGGGGACCAGCCTCTTCCCAGGAACCCTGGTCTATTATAAACCCTGGACGCAGCAAGCAAGTTTCCTTACGGAAGGCTGACATTGTGCAAGAGCACGTGATGGGTGTGTTGCTCTCGTTAACTTCCAAATGCTTACAGCAAAGGGAAGGATCTGGGGCTAAAGCAGATGCATTCATAACAATCCTTGTTATGTCACTATAAAATACCTAAGGGTTGAACCTTATTTTGCCAAATGTATTTTTTCTGCTTTTCATTTGGTCAAAGGATTTTAGCAACTGTATTCTACAAATATTACTTAAAATACACACACATCTGAAATATATGCTGACAATTGATGTCCTTTACCTCAGGGAGAGTCTGTTCAAATCTACCCAAGGGAAACAGCTCCAGTGGATCTAAACAACCACATCCCGTTTGTGGATAGGACTCGCCATTACGCTTTAGAGAGAATGTCAGAGCAGGAGGGAGGCAAGCAGCCTCTTCTCAATCATAGATTGCAAGTAATGGAAGAATGGGGTTCAAATTTGTTTTCTTCTCCAGAGGCCCTGGTGAAACCTCCTGCCCTCCCTGCACATCTGTGTCTTCGTTTCTAAAATCGGGGTGATGCTTTCGTATTGACCTCACCCCAGACTACCTCACAAATGTTTTGTGAGGATTGATGAGATGGTGTCTACAGTGTTTTCAGTTCCTGGAGAAAAATATGTATAGACATTTAAAGTATTACGTAGATATATAAGTGATCTCAGTTTATTGTTTGCTGTTATACTGGTGTGTTACTCTATAAATGTCAGTTGTGTCATAGCCACATTAGACAGCTGTTACAGCCCTGGACTACCCCCGATGTAGCTGACTGCCTATAGGGTTAACCGTGCCTGGGATCACAAATGGTGGTCTCCATCTGCAAATGAAAGGATAGCCCAGGACACAGGTCTCACAGACTCTTGAGTCAGGATCCAGGAGGTTAGGGTAACAGAATGGATGCCTGAGCACTAACAGCAGTAAACCTCTGCCTTTACCATCCTGAGGGCTTCTGGATTCTTTGTGGAGCTGATTTTGGTTTGATGTCATCTGTTTGCCCTTCATCTTGCTTGCAAGTGAGCATGGTTCAATCCCTCGCATCTGGGAAATGAATTTTGCAACTGGGCCAGATGCTAATTTGCACGTTGATTCACCTTCTTTGCCTTTAACTTTTTTTTTTCATTGTTTGACAAATCAATGTACCATTTCAAGTTTGATTTTAAAAGTACTAATTGATATTGGTAATAGCGCTACCCAAGAGACCAGTGCCAGATTTCTGTCTTGGGTGAGTTAGCTGATGTCATTTAAAGATGGAAAGATGTGCAACTTCTTTGATATTTGATGTCATTGTATCTACATTTGTTGTAAGACATATTGCATACCAATTATAATTATATCAATTAAAGTTGCTAAAAGCTTGTGCCTGGCTGTGGTGCTTCACATTTTGATGTGTTTTGTTATTTGAGCCATTCAGTTGATATGCTCAATACTGCTCATATTAAGTAGCTCTGACTTCTTCTTAAAGAAAATTTACCCCACATCAATAAGTAAGATTTTCTGCATAGCAGGAAGGTCTCTCTGGTCTTGAAATAGAATTGAAGAACGTCAGAATTAAAGAAACTTACCAAGTAGTAATTTGCTCTCACATAAACTGCATGCCTTATAAAATAGATGTAAAGATAAACACTTTGATTCAGTGAGTAGACAGAGATACATAATCAAGTCATATTAAGACATATTGACAATAGCGATATATTTGATACTTGCTTCACTCGTCCTCAAAAAATTAAATTTAGCATACTCATTCTTATCTGATAGTTAAATAGTAGACCATTTCAGCCATCCAGAATGTAATTTCAACCTCCAGAAGCTAACCAAAGATTATTCTGATGCTGAAGAAAAGAGCAACAGCAAGACCCACACATTTTGTTCCATAGGCAAGTAATGGACCAGCTGCAAACTAGAACTTGTTGATTAAATCAACAAGTTGGGTTGGAAACTTAAGATCAGGTTTAAGCAGCTTAGTTGCCTGGCCTCCAGTGGCACAGCATGGAGGATGGACTGGGAAGAGTCAAGATAGAGATCAAGGACCAGGCATGAAACAGGCCCTGTCCATCAATTATTAGGACACTTCTTGAGGGCCCGCCGTAGGTGCAAAAGCAACTAAAGACCCCATTATTTTAAGCTTGCCAGATGGGATTGATCAGAAAGCAATTAAAATGTGCACAGAAAGAAAAGGCTTAATAATAATGTGTAGTGTTTACCTGTTATGAATTCTTGGATCCAAATCAATATTTTCCCTGTATTATAGCTTTTCCAAGTGAGATCATAATCTGTTCAGATTAGTTAGTAATCTTATCTGCAAATTTTCACTCTCCTAAAATTCAGTTGCACTCACCAATAGCTAGTTATATTTTGACTTTTGTCAGAAAGCATTGAATCATAAATGACTCTTGAAAAGCACTGATCATGCTGGAAAAACCTGTAAGAGGCATGATCATTTCTGTTAAAAGATCGCGTCTTTGGCAGGTATAGAATGTACTACATTTCTTGCACCAAAACAGCATCAGTTTTAGTCAAATACTGATTTTCAGTATTGGGTTTCTGTCTTAAGCAAGATATTGAATATTTACTACAAAAAAGAAAGGAATCTAATATTTATTAAGGAACTTAGGTCCCTATGGACATTGATGTAATCCTTACATTAGCTTTAGAGGTCATTACACTATCTCCATCTTAAAGATGGGGAAAGTGAAGTTCCAGGATATTAAATTCATTCATACATGTACCGAATCATTCTGTGTACTCCGTAATGAATAAGGTCATCCCTTCTGTCCAAGTATTTCCAGTTTAGTAAGTGGCAGAGGTGGGTTTCAAACCAGATCCATCTGTCACCAGAGCCCTTGGTCTTTTTCCACCCAAGGGACTGGTATCTGAAGTAAGTATAAACTGGATCTTAAGACCCTCACACCTCCTGCTAATATTGGACCTTGCACCTTTGCAAAGTCCCCCTCAGCTATATTAGGCAGTCTCAAGGGTATCTGTCATGCAGTCTGGAGCAAACTCAGTCAGCTCCCACACACGGTCCCCTGCCAGGCACGTCACCTTTCTGCTGACTCCCACTGCTGTGGTTGTGTTCTCTGCCAAGGGGGAGTCTGCCTTCCCTCCTGTCCTGTTAGGACACCAGCACAGGGCCCACAGGCTCATGGAATTTTAGTGAAAACCTCTCTTAGTTTCCACCTGCAGCCTCCCTGCTCTTCACAGAACAGGAGTCAGTTGTGAATCCATGGCAGCCTGGACTAGAGATATTGCCCTTGGAAGCTCTCCCCACTTTTACCCTGAGGCTCCATCATTAGGCCAACTTGTCTTTCCTTGGGGTGATAATAATAATGATAACATATTCTCACATAACACTTACTATGAGTGAGATACTGTTCTAAGAACGTTACATGGGTTAACATCCCAATGAGGTAGATGTTATTGATATTCCCATTGTACAGATGAGGAAACTCAGGGCCAGAGAGGAGAAGAAACTTGCTCAAGGACATAGAGTGGTGGAGCAGAATTGAAATGCCAACAGTTGATCTCCAGTGTCCATGCCGTGGACCACTTCCAAGCAGAATCCTCACTCCACAAGAAAGATTCCTGACACACACTCTCTGCCAGCCATCAGACAGGCCCATCTGTGTAGGACACCGAAGGCACCCAATGCAGAAGCAAGGTCCTCCCTGAAGAAAGGCTTCTAGAGTGGCCTCAGGGCCCACTCCAAGGGCACCCACAATTGGGCAGCTCTGTGGCCAGGCACCTACATATTCATGGTGCTTAGGATATTTTGAACTCAGTGGGGCCCCCACAACTGGTGACTTGGCAGACTCTGAGCAGCCCCTATCTGTATCCTGACACTTCCAGTCAAGGTCAGCCACCCAGTAACTATCAACTCAAAAGCAAGAACTCCCTTGTCACCAGATCCACATGGCAGCTGTAGTGAGACAGTGCAGAGCACCGTCTTGTTCTCCCGCTTACCATTCCCCCTTGGCTCTTGGCCAGAATTTGCTGCCACAAACACTGCTGAGCAGAGTGTTGAAAAGTTCAAGTCGGTCATAGCCAGCTGTTGTCAGGTGGTGTGAGAGACAGAGACCTCCATCCCTTGTGCCCGGACATGCAGCCCTGTAACAGGCCTCCATCAGGAAATGCAAAAACACTGCTTGGTGTATTCCTGGAATAAATACTAAAATTTTAATACAATGTTAATGATTTCATATAGAACTTAGAGTCATACACGAACTTTGAAAGAGCAGGAGGAGAAAAGCCAACATCAGGTAACTGCAGAAATTCTAAGGTTTCTGGAAAACTGCCACCATCTTGACTGCAACAGCAAAGCAAGTAGTTCTCAAGAGCTCACTGGGAAGTCACAGCTGCCCACGCACCTGACGGCAACAATTTCTGAAGAAGAATGGTTTTGCATTTTTTCCATCTTCCACACCTCACCTAACAACCTCTCATAGATGAACCCTGGCCAAAACCATGCAGGAAGGGGGACTCCAGGAAATGTAGTTTCCGGCTTCTCCTCTGTATTGCAAAGGAGATCTGAGAAAAGGGTAGTAACAATGCTGAGCTAAAAATAAACAAATGGCCACAGCCAGCCCCACTTTGTCCAGATTAGAACTTCACAAACAAGACAGTAACTACAACACGCTACTCCTTATGTGCTGTGACTGTCCCTTATAGTGCTGAGGATGCACTTGCCTTCTCCCTAAAAGATAGTCACGCATCCCATATGTCACCTTATCTCTGTAATATTCATTTCTTCTATAGTTCAGAAGCAATCTTCCCATGATACCAAATTATAGAGCTAACCACTTTAACTCGCTTTACATTGAATAGAGGGGGATGAGAAAGGACAGAAAAAGAACCGAGATATGTATAATATATACACACACACACACACATATATATATATATACACACATCAAAGCAAAGCAGAGAATATGCACAGTTACTAAAAACTTCCTTTTTACCCCTAGTCATGTGACCATGTTGGTATTTATAACTTTTTTCTTCCACTAATCATTGAATGTTCCTGTCCTCAGTCAACATCTCACCTGGTCACAGCTCTTTATGTGACAGAATGACTCAAAGCTTCTGTCAAAATATGAGTAAAGCTCGGGGGCTGGAAAAGAGAAAGGGAGCTACTAAACAAATAATGTTTCTATCAGTCAAACAATTTAAAAAGAACAGATAAATGAACAAAAGAAAAGGAGAGAAAGAAGGAAAGAGGAAAAAAAGAAGAGAGAGAGAGAGAAGGAAGGAAGACAGACCAGTTCACATTGTATATAATGTTCCAAATACTCTCCCTTCCCTACTTTCATCATCCTTTCCTCTGTCCTCCCCAATCCTTCCGGCCCACGTCACTCACCCTCACAAGAAAAAAAAAAAGTGGAGGGAAAAAATAGCAAAGGTGTTCAAAACCATTCTCAGCACTTAGTTTGCTACATGCAGAGCCGTGGGTCATTCCACACCTCCATCTGCCCCTCAAGCTCTCCCATCTCTTCTTGGCATCTTCCGAGGAAAACTATGCATTCTTCAGAAAGCCAGAGCTTGGTAAAAGACCTGCTAGGAAGAGTAGAGGAGAGTAAGAACAGTGTTCTGTTAATTTATTCACTCTCAATTTAGAAGTGCCGTGAGCCATTCCACACACTGTCCCCCCAAATCCCCCCAATTCCCCCCATCATCCCCTCCCATGAGGAAATTCCAGGCTACAGATGGTTTTGCTGAGTCGCTGATAACAAGCTCTGGAGCTGACATGCAGTGAAATGAAATGCACTTAACTATTACAGAATGAGTAATCCCCAATAGCAATTAATCTCAAATCCTGAGGCCCAAAGATTATTCGAAGGGTTGTATCCTTCTCTCCTGAGCACCCATTTCTGGAAAGCTGCCAAGCTCATCAAGCAGCCCTACTCAAGGGGGTACAGTCTGGAGGCTTTTGCATGTTGCCTTTATGGTTCCTAGTGTAACCTTGCCATTGGCCTCTTCTCTTCCAAAGAGTGGAGAGGCTGGGTTTTATGTCCATCTCCCACAGGCCCATTTTAATGCTTTATCTATCAGAGTCCAGGTAAATCCTTGAGCTAACTTCTTGGGCACTGATTTCCAAAGCCATCCCAAGAGGCTGGCAGGTGGCTCTTCAGTAGAGAAGCTGATTCTTTCCTAGCTACTCTGGTCTCCTGGAAACTGAGGCAACTGATTCCTTGGAAAGTAACAGGTTCTCAAGCTAACCATAGCCAAAACCATGAGCAAAGAAGAACAAGTAGCCTGGAAGTTTCTGACAACTTTATATCCTTTCCCCCTTGGTTCATTTTCTATGCTTGGGACATTAGATGGAAGAAGAGATGGGGCAAGAAGTCTAGGCTGCTGCCCGATT